GCTAACTGTTCATTCATACTTTCACCCAGAAAACTCATTCTAACTTTAAAATGTTACACATCTTTCTGACATTTTTCGTGTAACACAGCTTTTAAATCTGATTCTTACTTTTAGAGATATTAAACATTGTTCAGACCTTGTTTTAGAGGTTTTCTTCACATTTTAACATTAACTAGAGTGTTTGATGTCACAGCTACAGTAGAGTGGAGGACAGCTTGAAATTCGCATTCATATATTTTTTTAAACTGCCATAATTCCCAAACCCTAAATTCCTGAGACATAATTTATTATGACAAACGTATGAAAACATCTCGTAGCTTGAAAAATGACAAATAATTAAGCAAAAATAATTAAACAAAGTGCCTCTTGAGGGCATGAAGTGACAAAAACGTTCAACATTCCTCCATTAAACCCCATTGTAATTTCAGGCAGATATTTCCTCACGGCAGCAGCCGCACACCTTTAGTTAAACTGCCAAAAAGGCCACATTATTAACCCGAAAGTACACAAAAATTACACTTCAGATACTCAACTTCCTTGACATGCTTCACGTTTTGAAATTTCACAGATATCTGTTACGGTTCTTCCACAAAACGTTCACATGTAAGAGGTTTATCTCTCATTCAGAACAATGAAGCCTTTGATCTCAACTATAAACACCTGTGTAATGGAACACGATGATCATCACTCCAACTGACATGCTCAGAGCAGCAGACTTCAGATAGCAGTGTGCAAACAGTCCAGCCGTGAAGACATCTATGCCGTTGCCATGGCGACAGACCACTCGCCACAATGCTCGCCTTGAAACACGATTTTCTCATAACTTCAGTGAAAATACTCCAAAAAGCCAAGAACTTCACAGGTTTGTTAACGATGCAGCCATCAACGCATCTAAGCGTAGTATGGGGTGTCATCAAATGCCGTTGCCATGGCGACGGACCACTCGCCATGAAACACGATGTGGCTGTAAGTCCCATCGACACGGTCCAATCGTCCCCCAATCTTCACTTGTATATCACCGGTCCTTGCCTCAACAGCTCTACGTCAATTCTGAGATCTCACCATATGCCGTTTCCATGGAAACGCATCCCTCGCCATAAAACATAATGTCGCTATAACTCCTATGAAAATGTTCAAAAAGTGCTCAAACTTCACATGTGTGCTAACAGTCCAGCCGTGAAGACATCTACGGGACAGTTTTGAGATTTCTTCAAATGCCGTTGCCATGGCAACACAATGCTCGCCATGAAACACGGTTTTCTCATAACTTCAGTGAAACTGCCCCAAAACTTCACAGGTTTGGTAACGATGCATCAACGCATCTAAGCGTAGTATGGGGTGTCGACAAATGCCGTTGCCATGGCGACAGATCATTCGCCATCAAGTTAGTTCAGAAGTTTGCAGTTCAAATATTCTGCTGCTTTTCCAAGCCTTTTTACTTTCTTTTCTTCTCTCATCACATATTCAAGCCCCCAGTGTCCAAATATCATTTCAATCTAAATTCTTCACTTTCTTCTTACACATTACATTCCAGCATAGCAGTTTAGCGTCAGATTTTCAGCATAAAGCATTCCCACTAGCAATTTCTTCAGGAATTGCATTCTCTAGTATTTATATGACATTCTACAACATTTTATTTTGTACCTTAACTCCTTCCAAATTTTTCCACCCACAAAATCCGTTCAAACATCAAAATGTTCAGCTCGATCGGGAATCGATGGCTATTACTTTTCTCAGTTATAAATGTCATAATTCCAGAGATATATCCCGTAATTCATCAACATTGAAGTCAATGGAGAAA